AAGTCTGATGCCAATTAACCAACACAGGAAGGAAGAAAGGGTCGGTTGGCCTGGGCGGATACCCGTGACCATGCGTGTGTGAAACGCTCCACTTACCTCTACACCGCTTTCTTACTGAACTGAGAGACGAGGAAAAAAATAAATGCCACTCTGAGAGCTAAGCTAGCTGGATGGTACTCTCGATTTTCTGTCATTGCAGGGTAGTGTCAGGTACAGTTGCAGGGTCATACGAATTACCTTGTGCAAAGCCCTAGCAATGCATTAGCAGAATCTGAAAAGCCTCATTTAATCATGTCTCACCACAAATCAAATCGCTACACAGTGGGTGGCTGAACTACCTTGCCACACCCACGATATCAGTACATTACACCATAACAATGCCACACTGTTGAGTACCCCAGATTTGGTTCATGAATCCAGTGAGCATACTCCATAACATCACGATGTGAGCTTTTGGAGAAAAGGTATGGGTGCTTGGACGAAACATAAGTGAATATTCAGCCGGTCTCAAAATCCACAGTAGGTCGTCGTACTGATTGGACCTCGGAATATTGCGATATGATCCACTCACATTTTTGTTGCCTGAAGCACTGGTTTTGTGATCATGTTCTCTGTCGACTGTAAGATGAGTTTGACCCTGAAGTCGTCGCCATTTTCGCAGCTTGATTCAGCTGGTTCATCTGACCAAATGTACAGAAAATGGCTTTAATGATCAGAGCTCAAAAGGAACCTAAGCTTAATTACGCCTTGAGTCCTGACCGTTCCCTCTCTGTGGCTCAAGTTATTACTGTTTCCTCTCGATTCAACTAACCCGTCGTGATTTTTAACAGAATGCCATTTCGAATTTCATTTGCAATGTCTTCTTGAAATTTGCCGTAAAAATACCTTCGTTGTCAATTCAAGGATCCTATCAGTGCCTGTCGAGAACGATATTCATTGGTTACAGTCAACAATTCAAGGAGTTAAGTCGTTTTTAAAAGCAAGAATTTAATTGTCATCTAGTTTGAGATGCCCATGTCTCCCATTCTCTCCCATGAACGCAGGAAGAATATGTTACAATTTCTGACCGTCCCATAGCACGGCTGAGAATAAAGTGCCACCTTCGTTTGATTTCTTTTTGAGTCAGTGTACATAAGTGCAAACACATATGCATTAGTCATGTAAAAGGGTGGTGACTAGCAAGTTTTTATACTTTTCGGATCTATTTCACTGCATTAACCAAGACAGCGTACATTTACACTCTGTATGAGCTGTTAACCCAGCCTGAATTGAATCAACGGTTGCCTTTGGCACAGAGGTCAATCAAGCTCTAACTGTGCTCCCCTTGATCATGTCATATGCTAGACGCTTAGTCAGTTTTCAAGGATGCCATTCAGGCCATCTGTTGACCAGTCATACTCTCTGAAGTGGAGCAAAAGGAAATTTCATGAAGCATTCAAACTGCCTGTTCTGCACCCTTTGCACCCGATCCCATTGCCAAACTACTTGTGATGAGCACCTTTGGGAAATGACCACCAGGACACTGAGACTCCTCTCCAAGACAGAAAGCGCGATAAAAATGCCTCCTTAGACTCCCCCTAGGATGAACCTACGGCCTACAAGTATAGCACGTGTGACGTGTCGGTTCGAAAAGTGATCTCGACAGGATGTGATAAGGCCTCCAAAACCCATGATCGACATATACGTCCAAAAATGGCCATGTTATGACGGCCTTGCTGAAGCAGCGCCTCTCACAATGAAGTATAAGGACGCCGAGGAATGATACGCTTATGTGGGAGACACCCAGACGGCTACAGACACATAATCTCGTACAGCCCCCTTTGTTTTTAGTATTTTGGAGCCTTATACTCCTTGCAAACGGCCGATCTTCGCAGTTTCTTCTCCATATCTGTACTATCTCGCACCATAGCTTCCGTTATTTCACTTGTACTATACGGCCCGGAGTGTTCCTTCATCCCTTTTTATACGCCTTCTCTTCTCCTCGATTTTTGGAAGCAAGACGAGTGGATCTGATACTGAATCATTTTTCAACATCGCACATTTTTTGTGATCGGTTTGTCACTCACAACGAGTACTTTTTTTCAGAATTCAGAATGAACTCTTGTGTAATTCTAATATTTAAAGTCATGCTAAATATCGGTCGAAAGTTATACATCGGCACTACAAACTACTAGTACTAATTTGAGCCTTAAGAATAGTATTGTTCATATTTCATCCCAGGTTTATGACGAGGGAAGTCGATTCAACGAAAACTAGGCGAATGACATTTCACTCAGCCCCTTTTTTTGGCAAGAAGTTGGCCAATGATGTAGTAGTTTTGACCCTAAGAACAGTACTGTTCACTTATGGCCTCTTCTCGATATTTCATATTTGTGTCGTTCAACGAACATTGTCTGTTCTTTTAATGAGTTTTCTCGTTACAGTTGGGAATTCGACCCCCATAAACGAGCTGCAGGCAGGGAGTAACACCCTCATTCCTGTCAACTGAGTCTTTTTTTGATGAAAAATTAGGATTGAATCAGTCCTCAGACATGACCATTTTCATTGCTCGACCCCCCGTCCCCGTACCCTTTTTCAGGTAGTGTAGTGGAAGTGCATACATAGAGAAGTACATCGATAGCCAAGAAAGTGAGAAAATCCGCCAACTTCAAGGCTTTTCAGAAGTGGTGGAAGCGAAGTTGTACGAGATCACCGTGACGGTAATGGATGTAAGGGTTTTTTTTAACTTGCTCCCATTATTCAAAGAGATGACTACATCAAGCCCAAATTGTCCGAAACTTCCTTTTACGGTCGTCATGGGTTATGGCAAGTCGTTTGAACTTCCCACATGAGAGTCTCTTGAGATAGTGCAGCCTCCACAAAGCTGTTGAAACTCGTCCACGATGGATGTGGCATCCGCACGATATACATAATCTATGGCCCCTTATTGTGTCCTATCCATGCCGTTTTCGACCTTATAACGGCAGGTATGGTATGCGGGAAAGCCTTTATTTCGTACTCTAAGAAATCTCAGAAACCATTTTTATCGTGAACTGTGCTTTTAAGTCTGAAAATAAAAGACATCAGACATATAACAACATAATACGAATACATGAAGAAGAGAAACATTGACTGGGTGAAAGCACTTCTAAACATGATGATGATAATTAGAACCCTACTACAGTAGTCGTTTCGCTACAGCTTTCTCTTCGACAGTGGAAGGGGGGGGGGGGGGGGGGGGTGGGCTTCTTTACGCGCCAGTTCCCTTCTTCTTGAAGCGTTTAGAAGCCGCTGACTTAATGCGCTACAGGAGAGCTACTATAAAACAACCAGGAAGCTCCCGCAATGATTGAGATGTTGTTCCCATTTTTTTGAATGCAAATCAGGTGCAGGAACGTAGAGGGCGTTTATCGAATACGTGTTTGGCCTACACAGGTTTCTGCTAAGAGTTCCAGAATATCCGGCATTGAGAGTCAAGCTTTCAATGCCGGGTATTTCGTCTTCATGGCTCTCTGTCCACTACTTCATAACTCCTTTTCCCCTTGAATTGGCAGGATACGCCGATATTACCAGCTAATGACTACACAGCCTTTTCTCATGTCCATCCTCTCCATCGACCATCATCGGCATGAGTCATTTATAACAGCGCCACGTCTCCCGTTGCCGCATTCGCATTCAGCATTTCAAAACACTTTTTTCTTGCCCATTTTTTCTGATTTTGACACCGAGCTCTGCCTATTTCTCACAATGAATCACTTCTGAGTGGAAGGTCGCCTGTATCTCTTTTTATTTGTTGCAATATCGAATTTTTGGCATTCATCTGATTCCCTCCATATCAGTATGCGTCCTTTCATCATTTATGTCATGCAGGGTATGGGATGATGTAAAAGCCTATGTACATTTCAGCTGCCAAGAGAAGTCCTGAATAATATGTACTTCCTTATGTTCTCTCTTGCATTTTTCCATCTTCATGATTGTGCAAAATAGCTTCCACTTTGGCTCTGACAAAAAAAGTCAACTCCATGTCTTCATATTTCAGCAACAGTACATCTGTCGTGTTAGTAGCTCTTTGAACGCCAAGAGACACTATCGAAGCGATTTTTATGAGCATTTTCAAGGTAGAGACAAGCACATGTCTGCCTTGAATTTGGGAGAATTTCTCATTCGCGTTGTGAAACTCTTAATATTTGCGAGCAACTGTGATGATCAGTGGGTGTTGGTATAAATAGGAATCCACCCATGTGGGCCTTATGGTCTCACGAGCCTATAGGTCTCACGAGTTCTCTCTTGCTTTGTGACCTCTGTGACTGGCTGCACAAGGAACGTTGTGTGTGTATTTGTGTGTGTATGTGTATGTGTGTATGTGTGTGTATGTGTGTGTGTCTGTGTGTATGTATGTATGTAAGTATGTGTGTCGCGTTCTCGAAACGTTTCACAAATGTAGCATAGGGCCTACAATAAATCGCAGCTTTCATCCGTCAAAACCTTTTTCAACACCAGAAATTATCGTATTCCACGATAAGGCAATGCTGCATGAAAATTTTCACGCTCCCCGTTTGAACGCCCCTTTTTGTGTCTTCTCTTGTGTTGCAATCCAGTAGAAATTTTTTTTGGCAGTAGTTCCCAGTTAGCCAAAAGTCATCGTTTCATTACATTTGAAAGTAACCAATTTTTTGTACCACGTATTCTGTATTTTTTCCTTAGTGCGTCTTTTCCAGGGTCATAGGTCCGACCGCAATTTTGCTATACCTGTGTGGTATCGTAAGGAATTAGGTAGTGCGGTACAAGGCGGAGCGAAGGCATTCTGCACCCGAATCGTAAACATCGGAGGCAGCGTCAGCAGGGCGGAGAGGACGTGCGTGAGAAACCATCGCACGAGAGAAAGTCGCCGTCGCCATCGTCATCGTCCTCGTCTTCGCCGCCGTTCCGACGATCCGCAGACGGTTTCACGTCCCTTGCACCATTCATTCATCCTTTCACGTGTGATTCCTCCTATATTCGATACCTAACCCTACTCGCTCATGGCCAACCACGGGCCGAGTTACGGTCTAAGCCGGGAACTCGAAAAGAAGGTGAGCTTCTACGATTGTAATAGCACTTTTGGCCCCAGAATTTCAAAGCTGCCATCTTAAGTTATTCAGGCAGTGAGAGCTTTCCGTAGTACCAAATTTATTATGATGCCTATAGAACTTTTTTCAAGAACTGACTGAATTAGAAGAAATACCTGTCTTTCTTTGTGATATGGAAAGAAATTGCCATGAAGACCTCTACGCTCTCTACTTTGTCTTGGTCTGCTGTTCTGAGTCCTTAAATGTTGAACACATTTCATTGTTTCTTTCGGAACTTTGTCACTTCGTTCTTGATTGTCCAACAGAATTTCCAAATTCTTTTTCTTGAGATTCTTTCCAAGAATTCTTTCTAAGCGGCAATCTATCCCAAAAGGCTTATTGCAGTCCAAGTTAGGTTCGAGAACTGCAATAGTTGAATCTTCATCTGGCAGTTAAACATAGCGAATAATTAAGTGATCCTCTAACGAAGTCTTTTCTGGTGTGTTTCCAGAGGCCTTATTCAGGGAGAGTGAGTGATTTCAATTATGATAAAGAGTACCCTTGAAATGTGCTGATTCGTTCTTTTCCACTTGCGAAGCCACAATTCGTCGCTGTGACGAAAACTGTCCCTCTGAGCTTTATTTACCGACTGACTTGCCGTCCCTTAAGCCGTAATTCCTCGAACGTTCCTTCCTCTGACCCTTTTGTTGATGCTGACGAACAGAATCGGGGCTTTCAGTTCTCATCAACTGTTCTGTAAGCATTTTCGTGAACCGGCTAACCAGATTTCCTGCTCGTATATCTGTTTGCCTCAGAATTCGGCTAAGACTGTGCCTATTACCATTTCCGCACAGCTGTACAGCTAGACGTTCGTGTCAGTTTCTCGCCCGGTTTAACCCGTCAAGGACATCGCCATGTACCCTTACTCCAAATTCGCCCAGTTCCTTTTGGCCTATACGGCCATCGTAGTGAGTCCACGAACGAATCGATTCAATGATCCTAATTCATCGACTGCCGCGCATATATTGTTAATCGTAGAGCTGAGCTGACGATTGCGTTCGCAAAGACGCGATTCCGGTTCGTTCCCTTGCCACAAAACCGCCTCCTATTCTCTCCAGCAGGGCAACTTCTTCTAACGAGAAAATGTAAAGCCACAAAGACGATTATTAGCTGTAGTCATTGATTTTACGGTGAAAGGTGCTTTTCCACTGGAAAGAATGGCTAATCTAACCTCCCTCGGTGTTTGCTCACTTCGTCCGAACAACCCTATTTGCGACAAAAAAATGTCTGGCCGTACTAAGAATTCCGTGCCACGTCGACAGGCAAGCACACTTGTGGAATAGGCGCAAACCCGGTTCCTGCTGGTTGTTCACTGTGAATGACGGTCAGAATATGGCCTGTCCAAAGGTCGCTTTTATGGCCAGACCGACAAGATCCTTATGAGAGAACGATTCGGAGCGACTAATATTTCACTGAAATCAGAAATTCCTCCGCAACGATCTGATTGATTCGAGGCCTGGAATCGACAGGAACGACCATCGATATAGGCATCATTCAGACGAACGGAGTAGGTTGCCTAGTTTGCTGTTGGGGGAGAAGGGATAACTCAAAGGTCTTACCGTTCATTATTGTAACCGTAAGTAGAACGCTCCCGGTTGAAAACGTCCCAATTCAGGAATTTTGAAAGGCATCTCCGATATCATAGTTTTTTTCTTAATTCTGATGGCGACAGGTGTGTCTGTAGACAGCAAGATTTCATGCACAAAGACCTGAGTCATTACCTTCACTTTCTAAGCCGGTTTGGGTCTCTCAACTATACCAAACTTCTGAGATTCCACACGAGCAACAAACCAAATCACATTAACGGCGCGATGAGGTCAGTCGTTGAAAAACGCAACCTCGATGACTGGACAACGCATGCGACAAAAGAAATGAGACCCTCGCGTAGTTCTAGTGAGCGATGTCAGTCACGACGACGGTGTAAATCCAATTCCCATTACAGAATCAGGCTCGATTCAGTTTGGACGAGGCAATTGAAGTGCTGCTATGGGTGCAAAGTGTGACTCAGATGCCATATTCGTCCGACCCAACTACTTGCCGGACAGCGGCCGACGTCGCTGAACTCCTGAAGGATGGCGTTCATTTGTGCAAGTAAGTCATCAAATGCTGCAGTTCTGTTCTCATCCACCTGCTCTTTCATTATCGCTGCTATACGTTTCTATATGGTAATTTTAAAAGGATGTGAGTGTACCTGGTAGAACAAAGTTTTCCAGGGCAGTATTATCTAATCCAAGTAGCTGTTTCCTCTGAGTGACCAGAAATTAGGTTGTAACAGAGCAATCTTATCAGCCTAGTCACTATTCATCTTACAAAGGATTCGTAATATCTCATACTAATAACGTGTACAAGAAAGCAAGCCACTTTTTTGCATTGATATGTAAGAAGTTAATATTTTTTGACAGCTGTAATATATCGGAGTGAGCTGTACTTTGCCGGATTGAATTCTAACACCGACAAGCCATACTTTTTTAAAAATCACAATATAGACTGTCTCTGGCAGATGAGTGCGATATCGGCGAATTCGAAGTGAATTAGATGTCCCACGTATCCCAAGAAAGTGCCGGTGCCGGTCAACTCTCCTTGTCAATAATCCTCCTTTCCAACCTCCGAGATATCCGATCTGAAAGAAAATGGAAATATAAAGGATAAAGGACAAAGACTTTGGCGTAATCAATCCCGTCTGAGGGATGCGCCCCCTGCATTCGACTTCCATTCAGAATCGTAGTGGCGTAATGAGTGTGTATGTGGCCTATACAATGACTTGCGGTGTCACCAAAGATGCCATTCCATAGATAGTACGCCACTTTCCGCTACACCATCTCCGCTCATTGAAATATATGTTCCAGAAAAGGCTTTGAGAGGTCTATTTTGGGGAGGTTTGTGAGTGGGTATGAACATTCGTTTGTAAAGAACAAAACCAAGCGAAGCAATAGTACATTGGTAAAATAAGATCTCATTTTCGCAGTTGGTTGTTGCAGAGAATGGATGAGTCAGAGATTAAGGACTGAATTTCGGCTTATTCTGACTCCAACAGGAATATGTTCAAACCTTATGGCTTATAAGGGCTTGCACACGATTCATATAGCGCCCTAGCCTCTGCTTCAACTTCTTCTCAACTTCTATAACTTGTAACCAATCGTTCACTAACTTGCATATTCTTCAACCTTTTCAGACTCATCAATAGACTTCTGGACAACGGAAGCCGAGTTCCATTCAATCCTAAACCAAAGATGCCATTCCATAAGGTATGCATCTCTCAACTTCTCAATATCTTTTGCCCTTGTCTAAAAACGTTGCGTTCCAGATGGAAAACATCTCCAATTTCCTCGAGGCCTGTAAGGCATACGGTGTTGCTGAAATCAGCTGCTTTCAAACTGTGGATTTGTACGAGAACAAGCAATGCTATAAAGTTATCGAATGTCTCAGATCATTGGCTGCTGTGGTATGCTTCAAACTTGTTATGAAGGACGAAAGTGGAGAAAACGAAGTGAACCTGCCTTCACCTCTCCAGTTGGCATATTTTGTGATGAAAATGATGAAGAATGCTTGAGCTACAAACGACATTACATTTTTGTGTGAAAACCACTGAAAGAATACCTGCCCAGGCCTACTGCTTTGATTTTTTGTCGGTAAATGCTCACATCCTTCTTACCCGCTCCTCTGCTATGATTTGAATAGTTCTTTCTCAGAATCCTAATAGGTTAGACTTATTACTAGCTTTCGTTACAGTTCTTTTTAACTTCTTGTAGAATCATTTAGCCCCGATATTGGTTTGAATGTGGTTTAGCGGCAAGTGACGCTCACTGTCACATTCATGGTCCGAGATCGGTTCCGGAATCGATACCCGCCCAAGCCGCCGAGCCTTTTTTCCTCCCGGGGTTCGGTTGATTGATACCAGACTGAACATAGAGGGCAAGGCCTGGACTTCTACATCGGCTGGGCACCGTAATTCATTATATAGGCTACATACGCATTTAAAACACCATTACGATTCTGTAGGGAAGTCGAGGTGGTATAACGTCTCAGAAACGGGTTCGTTTACCACCGGAATTCTCCATCCTTTATTAGGCTTTGCATATATATTTATTTTAATATCTGTGAAGCATCTTGTAGATGTATGAATGAGTGCGTCTGGGTGCGTAATTACGGAGTTGACTGCAATCTACACAAACTAGAATTGCGAGCGATTCTCAAGCTCTCACTCGAAAACCTTGCGGCGAACCCTTCCAACCGTTGCATCACATCCATCATATGATCAATGACCATTTTTCTTGAAGCTTTCTCATGGAATCCAGTAAAATCACAATGTTGTTCTTTGTATTTTTCAATGGTTCTTGTTTTCTGAAAACCACGAAAAGGTGTTCAGGCTCAAGCTCGCGGAGCTGACGTCGATTTTCCACCGTGGGTAGTACGATTGTCGCATAGCCGTCCACGACAGTTCCCGGAATCTGTGATGCGGCGTGGTGAAATGGTCATACCCCTTCAGGTAGGATGGTTTTACTCTTTGTTAAACCCACAAAGGGAACTTTCCGGATCTTTTTCAAGTAAGGAATCTCCAGCAATAAACAACACTTCACCTCGACACAAAGCTACCTGCGCATGATAAAAACGACGTTTTTTAGGGAAAATTTCTCGCTAGCGTTCCGCGGTGAATTTGTGGAGCTGCTACAAGGGCCCTCTTATGAGTCGATTGCCCTTATCCTCGTGCTCTTTCTATAGAGTTGTGTCCGTGCATACTGAACACGATGGTCACATTTTTGACGCAGTGCTTCCTCCTATAATATTTAGTGCTTATGCTCCTTGTGACTGTTAAATACCTCATGGAAAAAATTATGGCTGACTTTCCCGTCGGCATGAACGTTGACTTGTGAGTGTATTAGCTCAAGCTTTCCAAGGTTGTAAAACTTTGCTGAGCTAAGGTTCCCTTCTTCGCCTTTTTCAAAGCCTCAAAGTGGAGAAGCCGATTGAAAACGATCCTCACAAGCCAGGCTCTACCCAAGACAGTCCTCCACACTGCAAGAGGAAGGGCGTAGTAAAAGCTGAAACTCAAGTCGACTTTAGCGGTTCTTCAGAACCAACATCTTTAGGTTGGGAGACAGGTGCCGCAGTAGACAAGCGCTGAAAGTGGTCCTTCATTCCTCCTTCCATCATTTCATCATTTCCTTTTTCAAAACTCTCTATGAGCCTCAACTCTTGTTGTGGACGAGCCCTGCTCTGTGCTCCTAATGTTCGATTCGAAAATTCATTGTGTAGATTCACCAGCACCACACTTCCTCCCGTGTCCCTACTACGTCCCATGACTTCCTTATCACTCCTAATCATTTTTAGTCCAGTCCCTTCCATTCCTGGACTGATTCTTCAGTGTACGCTCAGCTGCAATCATGGAGGCGTTCCTACCAAGTGTTTGACGTTTGAGTACAATTTCAATTTGATTGTGCTTTCCTAAGCTGTCTTTCCTTCTTCATCTCAAACAACAAAGTTGGTGAAACTCACGTCAAAATGAAGGCATATGAAAATCGTTGGAAGCAATCATTTCTGCCCGTCAACAATGTTCCACACGCATCGAACATAGGTGTTTCCTAACCACTTACAGTTCACTTTTTATAATTGAAACGGGAAAACTTCAAACAATGGCTGATAGCCCGTTGCAACCGGCTACGCACCCCGCCGCTTACCGTTTTTCGAACTTTGCAAAAACTGGACCCTTCAATAGTCACCCAGTCTCTACGCTGACTATTGATGCGAATGACTGCCGCAATCATTGTCATGTTTCTTGTCTGCCGTACAATGGAAATCACTTTACGACAGCCATTTTCGGGAGCCTTAAATAATTCGACCACTCGGCAATTTTAATATTCTATTGTGTGGCAGTAGATGTCTACAGAGGTTAGAGGGGATGCTATATACTAGAAAAAAAGCTCAGTTCCCAAATAAGCACTTCGTCTTCCTTCGCCCTGCCAAAATGATACACTGGTGACAAAACTTAGGGACAAAAGCAACTTTTGACTTTAGATTACTGTACCTCTTCCAGAAAGCAGAGCTCGTTGAAATGTATATCATACTAAGGGAGGATCATTACGGTGTAGCCCAGGAAGTAACTGACAGAAAATCGAATAAAGCCGAGCAGATGAGACATTTTATTCAAAGGAACGATTACACATAAGTCTTCACAACTTACTCTGATACTTCAAAAAAAGCGGTGCGTTTCTAGTATAGTGTGTGATCACCAGCAATACATGCTCTGCAACGCGATTTCATCCTTTCCACAATGTTGGTAATGAGTTCCTCTGGTAGGGCATTGCACTCCTCTATCAGCGCAATTGACAGTTGCTGGATGGTTACAGATGCATTTGGACGTGCTGCAAGCGTCTAACCAGTGCATCCCACACGCGCTCGATGGGATTTAGGTGAGGGGGTTGGAGGAACGGGCAGGCCACTTCATCTGCCGGATATCTCCTCTTGTGCCAGGAGTTCCTCCACCTGTGCTGTTCGATGCGGTCGCCATTGTCAACCATAAATACTAATTTTAGTTCCCACTGAGTCCTGAAAAGATGCACATTAGGAAGAGGCACCTTGTCACAGTAATGCTGACTGTTAAGGGTTCCACGCTCAGAAATTTGGAGGTCGGTGCGAGTATGCATAATGATGCCTTCCCGTACCGTACCACCTCGAACATCAGAACGGTCACGTTCGTCAATGTTTCTAGGAAAGTCGCGTGTTTCTACGTCTCGCCAAATGAGGGTGCGTCCAGAATCACCACTCAGACTGAATCTGCCCTCATTCGTGAAGAGCACAGTGCTCCATTCCTCATCGGTCCATTCGCTGTGCTCCTGGCACCACCCAAACAGTTTCGCCGATGCGCTAGGGTCAAAGGAACACAGCGTAGCGGTCTATGGGAACGACTGTCACCATGCAGTCGTCGTGCCACTGTAGTGCGTGAGATGGCTTGCCTCGAAGTCCTGTTAAATGACATGGCAGTCACAGAAGCTGATTAACGTGGGACTCTTCTTGTTTGCGGTGCAATGTAGCGGTCATCTCTTGATGTAGTTGTTCTTGGCCGATAACCTCCTCTCCTTCGAGCAGCAATACCAGTGGTTTGGAATGCTCTCCATGCACGTGAACCAACGCTGTGAGCAACAGCGAGCTCCTGAGTTACACTCGTCTTGGCTCGCCCTCCTTCGAGTTTCCCTATGATCCTTCTTCGCGTGAAGTCATCCATATGATGTCTGCGGGACATGATGTATAGAAGGATACCACCACAGTACCCTGCAGTTACTCGCTAATTGACAAATTTCTCTGCTCGCACCTATCAACTGCATCGATTCGCGCGGGCATCGATATTTAATGCCTTATTTGAACTTTTCTTCCATAAGGAAAGCGAATACCCGTTATAGGTCTGGCCATATACTATCGCACTTTCATTTATTTCCACCCAGTCCTTGATGTTTTATGTTACGTTATCCATCGCGTCCCTAAGTATCGCACATCTGTGTGGTTTCCACTCACCGTAGGTCCTCCTCATATTCCTACCAGCGAACTCTCGAAGTTAAATCTTCCATTCAAGTCGGATGCCATATCATTCTCGTCCCTGTGATCTCAAAAAGCGCTTGTGTCAAAATAAAATGTTAGGACCCTGCACACATCGAAGCTTTTCTTTTACCGCTTCACTTTGCTCCCATCAACAGATTTGATAAGTCTGAACTATTCGTTCACCATATTAGGCTGCGGCATTTATCGATGCCTTCTCTCGGGCGAGTTTGAAATCAATCAACTAACCAAGCCGAGATAGCATAACTTGCTGGTCAACTTGGAGTTGATCCATGCACCGCGTGGATGGTAAGGAAGGTTACTATCGTATCGCAGCCCCTATGCCGTGCATTGTCAGATATTTTCCTGATTTCTGCAAATCCGTCCGTAAGAACTCTCGACCGCCTCTGAAATCATTGAGTATACGACACCTTGGAAGTCAAATCGCTCCACTGATTTTCAGTTAACTTGGAACGCTTTTTTACCCTCTCACTTTCATACTAACTTTACCCCCTCATACCCTGTTTGAGGCGTTAATTTGGGAGGTTTAACTTAATTCGTTCAATATGAAGTGAGAAAAAGAAAATGAAAACCTACAGCCCGATCTCAAATTTTTAAAGGACTTGATGGACGGACCTTAAGCAAATGTCGTAGGGAGGTCTTCTTAAAACAGATTCCAACCATACCTTCGAAATAACTTTTGTTTTTCCCTGATTAATTTCTTCCTTGCAGTATGGGACGAATAAGTGCGCCAGTCAGAAAGGGATGACACCATATGGATTAGCACGTCAGATAAAACCTGATCCATCGGGATAATAATGATCCCATTTATCTACGTATCAATTGTCGATTGTGCACATACCATCTATTCTGAATAAAAATTCATTTATTAATTTACAGAGTTATTTCTAATACCCTCAAGGCAGGATTTGTATAACATTCACTATTACTACTAATCTAATTCACTTCTGAGAATGTCAAGGAACAGGATGATGGGATACAGCTGAACGCGTACAAAGCACAAATATGTATAAAAAGCGCTAATTTCCAGGGAAGAACGTCTGCCCTGACGGGGAACAGAGCTTCCTTAGGAAAATCTTATGAACTACTACAAGGGAATTCTACACGAAACGGCTACAGATTAAATGATGAATGATAATGAAAGTGGAAAGTTGCCGCATAAAATGGCATTTTCGTGAAGGAGACAAGAAAACTGCAAGAGGTTCGAGTAGCACTATTAACAAATAAACCGACCCATACATAACAAATCGAATCACAAACGCAGAATTATGAAAAACACGGAGTATAAAAACATTAATCAACCGTACAGTATTAATCAAAGGGAATAGAGGAGTGCGGAACAAAAATAAACACTTTAACATTGAAATCTACATGTAATCACTGAGGATATCCACCATTTGTAATGGATTTTCAAAACATTCAACAATGCACATTGGCTGAACACAGGGAAGAGGGTATGCCGGGATCTGCGTTCTGTCAAAACACCTGTGCAACATAGCATGAGATAACGCTGTACCAGTAGTACGTTAACATCATTCCTTAGGGTACAATTTCTAACTAAAGATAACGACGAAATAAGCAGGTGGTTCTGAACACGTTCTTTTCTGAGGCTTCTATGAAGAAAACAGACAAAAAAGAGAAAATCAAACTGGTAGCCAATATTGAAACACTTAAATAACACAGATGGCCACAATATAAGCAAAACGGCTTAACGAAAATAATAATGAGGATGGGGAAGAGTGGGAAGACGAAGAGATGACGTCTAGCACGAAACTATCGCGCTCGGTAAGATCAACAAAGGGCCCATGCATAATGCCTGAAAGACACGGTTTCTTATGACATCCAACATGTAAATGGTAAGATATTGTGCTCATAACTGTAATCTAATTACTATCTCATAATCTATTAGTTTATTTATCACACCAGTACAGTGACTCCCAACAGGCTGCTAATAGTGACAATAAGGGAACTGCCAAGAAAAGTCAGCCATCAACTCCAAGAAATCACCACTGCTCGTGGTGACAACATGACGCTATGAAGGCGGTCGTGATAACGTTTTCCTACTAATACATAAGACCTACTTGAAAAACCCGCAATTATCCATCTAGGTAATTGTCCTAGCAACATAAGGAACTCGTAAAAGACGAGGCGCAGAAAATAATGTAGACCGGCTAGCGGGAGACTTACAGGCATATTTAGACAAATTTTTTGATGCGGCCGATCCCTTTCGAATATAATGCGCTCGACATCCATGGTATAAAAAACTGCTCATTCAAAAGCGCACGCAACTTATCACACGATGCCGAAAATACTCGAAGAGACTCTCACAAAGGCAACGCTCAGTTTGGGGGGTAGGCAAAATTTTTCACAAATTGGAAATTATTATCTTAGGGTTCTCTCATTCATTAGGCTCTCAAATTTTTTGTCAAATTACGGAACAAGAGTGAACATTCACCTTATTTTTGGACTAGGCGAAATTCAGTTGACATCAATGCACCCTGAAGAGAGGAGGTGGAAATGTTGCTGCCATTCGAACTTGAAGGACTCGCCGATGAAGCCGATCCAGGCAAAAACCCGCTCCCTCGGGCGACCCGTGGCGAATCCGCAGTGGTTGAGTCTGGCAGCGAATCGCGTACCTAAAACTGAGTCATTTAAGATGCACTTCAAAGCATGAAGCTCAAAAAAAAAGGGAAGGCAAAACAGGTCACAGAGGAAGCCGACCTTTGTCGGAGAAGCAGCCACAACGCAGTTGCTAGGCGTTAGAATATTAAAAGCTGTTGCTCTTGTTTCTGCGAGAAACAAGTGGATTTAACGTTTTAATAATTCAGGAATGAAAGACACTAGGCCGCTCGGATTGAGATAAGCACTACCGAGCACAATTTCGGATTTCACCGGAGGCACAAAACCTAACTACCGCAAAATCTGCCAGTCACAACTATTTCACCCTACCTCACTATATCCCGCAAGTTTTAGCTATTCAGTGGATGAGTGGCACGAAAAAAAAAAGAGCTGGTGCACTCACGAAGGGTCCATATTCTGCGGATTGAGGCAAGAAGAACAGTCAAAGTTAAGAGGTGTTCGCTGAATTGATTCTTCCTCATTAGTAACTCGCCTTTTCAAATGCTGCCCCCGAATTTTTGTAATTCTCTGCAAATTGTATTCGAGTATTAATAGTCGCGATCTCGGAGACTATTTTCCTCACTTTTTTAGATAAACAAAATAACCTCATTAAACTCCCGTCAAGTATGCCTCAGTCACTTCTGAGATTACAGCACTACTGTCAATTGCCATAGTTCACACTTACCAGCATCCCCTTCTCGGACACAATTGAAGGCCACGAAACGTAACGTCACTTTGCAATACGAAGGAATACCTTTCAGAAAGCACCTTACAGATCTGATCAGAGCCGATAGCGGCAAATCGGTAAATTACTAAGTCCTGTCACATGGAAGCATTCTTGCGATTCTCTTCGAATATCCTATCTTAATCCATGCCATCTAATGGAGCGTAAATAAATCATATCTCAGAGAATCACTGCAGTTGCTCAACTATAAATGACCCAAAAAACAGCAGTGATTTGTGAAGAACTGCTCGGAACATCCTCATCTGCGGTTACTTCACTATATGAAGCGGCTCCAAGAAATTCATCACGAATTGTTGTTACCGAGGTTGTAGACGATCTATTTCGCCAGTATAAACCGTTCTAGACGTTTTGGCAGAAGAGAAAGAGATCCTTACAGAAAATTGATTCACTCCTTGTAAACTCTGCGAAGCAGGGCATTAGCATTGAGCTGCCCTACAGGATTGCCCGACAGACCACCACTCACAAAACTATACGATAGTTGACGATTCGAGATGGTACGAGGAGAAAAAAATCTGTTTTTTTTTTTTTGATCAGAGAGCCGCTTAGCGGATCTATGCAACTGTGGACCACCGAAAGCACAAACAATGACACAAATCTCGATTTGGCTGGCCAAGGCTAGTGGACTTACTGCTACGTAAAAGCGTTCTCACCGGAGGACCTTCTATAAAACGATCTGATATCCTCTGTGGTGCAGCTAACTCCTTTTTTTCACATCTAATGGAGTTAAACATAATTTGATTGGAGTCATCGACGCCAGACTTTTATGAAGAGAAGCATACCATTTTCTGGTGAAGTTTGCAGATCCCATCCATCTCAACGATTAATATGACGGTCATGACAGTATTCTTTGCGCACTAAGAGGATGATGCACCGTTTACATAAAGGGAAAATGTCACAAAATCATGTCGCCCTGACGCCAGCAGATATTCATTATGAACGAAAGATAAAAAAACAGCGACTTTTTTACCCAAATTGCTTTATAGGCCCGATTCAGGAAAACACCCCACGATTACACCAGCGTGGGAGTCAAAAATGAGATTGGAGGTAGTGGGTATGTGAGAAATTAAATGAAACTATGCAAACACTAACAATGACACCACTCGATGGCGTGGACAGACCTTCGAAGAAAAGCCGAACAAACAATGAACCCTCGCTTAATGATTTCGCGATATCGCAAATTCACCTTTATTCAATTACTTTCAATGTCACCTTCCTCCGTACCTTGACTTACCATAACCAACCGCTTCTTCTTGAAAATCAAAGTCGCAAACGGAGGAAGATGAGCCTCCGAGAGGAGCGCACAGCGAAGACTACGTTTGCAGTCATACAGCAATTCATCTCACCAAATGGAATGTTCGACGTAGCTAATTACGGAATGCGCTATTTACTACTTCAAAGAAGAACTTTCAAGGAGGTAGAAGGATTATGACCCCGAACGAAGGGTATAGACAGTCAAACTCCCTAATGTACAGCTTATCCATTCTTCAATGAGCATTTACTTCACAAGAACGCGATGACTTACTCAACTAGAAAAGGAACATTGATTAGATTTGAAAGCACAATCCACGATCATTTTGGAGTACCCCGTTATAAACGAATTGTGAAAGTGATAGACGAGAAATTTATATAATAGGAATATAAGGCTCCAAAAAGTTGGAAAATCCGGGGAAGACGAGAATGTGACGACAAAATTTGCATGGAAGGAGAATTTGGACGAGCTCTCCGATTGCGCACAGCTGGCTACAGTAAGTTGCCAGCGTGCAACGTGGCCGTCCCGATGTGAATGATGAAAACTCCACAGTCTCTCCAGCGCGTCTGCCTTAAGTTAGTATAACGGCTAAGCCGTTTTTGAGGCCTTATTACGCCCTATCTCGATCATTTTGCAGCCCAACAGTGTCTGTTCGGGACACAAGTTCATCATGGGGAAAAATTTCCTTATCATGAACTTTCCTTTCATATTTGGAGAGGAATAACTCATTTTTTAGCTCACCACTCAGATTTTGTCGTCTCATAGCGGCAAAATGAAATTCGCTTTGAGCAAATGAGAACGCAAAATAAAGATCAGGGTTTCGTAATAATAATAAGAATCATACAAAGTTGGAAATTACTGCGGATGACGCACCGCCACTTCAATCGTAGTCGAGTCCACCGTGGGAGATGTAGCAGTGGGTGTTTGTGACACAGTTAATGCGTTTGTTGGTGGAGCCGAGAGCGACAGAACTCCCGTCAGCGAATTTGAGCTGCTGAAGTGAGCTAGTGAAGTGTTCGTGTGAAACGACGGAAAGTAAACTATTAGAACGTAAACTAACTTGCTAGCAACACTATCGGGTCTAGCTGGAACGTTTGCAATCACATTGAACGGAGCATGCAAGGAATTTCCGGTTGAACTTGGAGAGCGTGAATTCGAGTCGTTCAAATATTGCAGAAAATGAGTTGATACTAGAATAAAGTTCTCATAAAACAAAGATCTACATAGTAGTAGAGCACGGGAAAAGAGGAGTACTTACAAATACCGTCGTTACTGTTTCCATTGCTGGCAATGGCGTTGAAAAGCGTATTGCATTCGTCGTCTCCTGCTGCACCAGGAATAACTGCTCTGACGGGTGCTCCGCCAGTAAGCATCGATGTTGGGATTGGTGTAACTCGTGGAGTTGTCAGCGGAGATGCGACCACGGAACTGCACGCCGAAAGTGCCTGCTATAAATACAAACATGGAGTTGGAGCAAAAGTAACGCAATACTGTTGCAAAGTAGTCCGGAAGATGGCTGTAGCTTCCTGCCGTGTGTATCTAAGCGCAGATACTGAGGCTTGCAAATATGACAGTGAATTTTAAAAACCTACTCTGAAGTCCCCTTCTACATTCACACATTAGACACCGAAACGTTATCCCCGGGTTCATATCTGCCGCTGCGTAAGTGAAGGCGCCGGATTTTACTTCTTCTCTCGCCGTCGATGAGCTACTCTACACCAACACCTCCGCTTTTCATCTTAAATAGAGAAGAATACATCTTGTAAACAGGTCTAACCATTGCCCTTAGACCCTTTGAATCGCAAAAATCTCTGAAATATATCCCTGAAACATCCAAAAAAGGGGCTGTGTGTGAGGAGCTTCCAGGTGATCTCGCGTATCAATTATAAAAGCTAATTCTTCCAAAATTTGTAATCTGAACTGTAAGTACGTATTCCACTCTATCTGAATTCTGAGTCCCAATCCAAAACCAATTCGTTCATTAACCGAATGTAATTGAAACTGACAGCAATCAATAAAGCGTTAAAATTTGCAATAGACTTTTTTCTGCCATCCTATCGATATATTACTTTGATCGACTCCACGCAATCCTATAGTGTCAGCCTGATTGGCAAAATTCTTTTCGTCAGTCGTCAATCAGCTGACTATTGCAAAGCTGACACTGGCTGCTTTCAGACCTCGACGTCCGTCCGTCCGACGCGTGCGTGCTGCAACGGCGGCGCCTGACCTTTGTTGACAACACTGGATCACGTGCCAGCGCTGTCAACACTACTCTAGCGACCGCCGTCGCAGCACGCACGCGTCGACGGACGGACGGACGTCGAGGTCTGAAAGCGGACACTTATGACAAAAATCTGTGGAACACACAACAACATTTCGGCTGATATTTTCGTGACAACTAGACACGCAAAGAAAGCGAGTTGCATCAGCTGTACTGTCTAAGATAACGCGTGATTCAAATTCGTTACAAGAAAAAAGGCAGAGCAATCCATCTTCTTTTTGGAACAAGTTCAAAAAACGCAGTTTGAAACTGAATGTCTGATTAAGATTGAATAAAAAAAGCTGGGATCAGTAAACTAGACCCAAAAATTCAGAAACAAAGCGCGTGTGCGTACAAGTGTACTAGATATATTTGGACTTGGATAGGTAGACATAGTTAGGAGAGACATTACTGAAAAGTTAGGTGAATAGATACACAGGTAGATAGTCAAATAGATTTTAGTTAACTACATAGAGATGAAAAAAGAAATCGATCTTTTGGCTAAAAATCTGAAAGAAAAGTAGAATAGGAGTGAGAACAAACCCCATCAACTTGTGATGCTCTCAATTAAGAATGAAGTGCACATAGCTCCAATACAAAATATTTTTTCACAGCGCAACAGGCAAAGGCAATATATCTGGGGAAAAATTTGGCTGAGAAAGGCTATACGAGCACCTCGATGCTAATGAGAATCACCTGTCAATTTAGTGACAGTGATGGCATGATCATAAAACTGATAAGTGAAGGTAGTGAATTTCTTGACGAAGGATTCACTGATGAACCAATAACGTCAGAGGATGTTTTCACAAATGTAGCACACCTGCTAGTTTGAATTAGTCCTTGTGCTCAACAAGCACAAAGATCAATTTAAAAACGAGTGTTAGCCACAACAACTGCAATTTCCATGCACAACAATATGCATTGAACTCGATGCTTCCTTGACACTGTGAAAACTTACAGTTTCAAGGAAGCATCGAGAAAGTGGTAGAAAAAAAGTAAATTGTAACAAATGGTGGACACTACCTAGCATCGGTTACACTTTTAAAGGCTTCCAGTGAGCACTGCAAAAGAACGTTGTAAAGAAACACATTTCATCAGGATTGCAGTGGCTCGACAGCGCCCAGCTTAAAAACTTCGAATAAGGACTAACCTGTACCTGCATCTCGTACATTTTCTTCATTGGGTTGATCGCCTTCGGGGCAACCAGTTTCTGAATTTTCGATTTATAGAAAAAACTTCACACAATGAGGCGTACTTTGGGGGTATTTTCAAACCTGTCTGAGCTGCTATTTGAATGCGCAGATCTTGGAAACGGGACTCAGAAATATGGATTGCAAGTGTACGTGTAATTGGGTACTACCATAAATTGAACTTTTGTTATTTGTTGAAGGGTTTGCATGAGGCACCTTCACTTTCAAAGCACGATTACAGTCTAAAGTGCTACATAAAAACCTTTTTTTTTCGATACAGGTAATCAAGAGGATATCTTGAGGATGAGTTTGTCTTTTTCCCCAAATTTGGCTCATCCAAAATTCAGCAGACGGCGGGGCGACTTCGAGAACATCGAACTACAAGCACGTCCAAAATAAGCGTTAAAACATGGTTCTCGAAATCAGACTATGGCACCATCCACGTAAGCCTTGCGCCACCGCCACCATCAGAGATTGAATGCTGTCTGCGAGCTCGTTTGGTACAACTGCTAAGGTTCTGGAGCTTAGCAACATACATCACGGTTGAATAAGGTGCCCCTTTCGTAACAGCTACAGTGCTCATAAATGCCAAAACTATCAGATAGCTAGGATTAAGGAAAGATCACTAGTGGTTCCAACTTCGTTTCAGTTTTCTTCAAGGCACTTATCCGTAGTAGAGGTAAGAATAACTGCAAACGTGAAACGCCTGGTGATTCAAAAAAAGACCAGCTTAAAATTGAAAGAACCTAACTTAAACTTACTGCTGATTGTTCAGGTTTTGTGACGAAGGTACGGATCGGCTGAGGGGCCAAAACCTCTCCAGAGTTGCTCGTATCAATGGCCTGATCATTTCGAATTTTGCCCGATTGATGCTGCACTTCCACTTGTTCGAGTACCTTGCTAAAATGAGTAGTTAATTCGTCTTAGTAGTGCTCAAGTTGTGATTCTACAGAAAATATGTATGTATAACGCTATTATTAAATACAAGATGCAGTGACCTAAAACTAATAGTCGTCCCATTTGGAGTGGTGAACTTCGTCGGACTAGCTAAGTATGCAGTCCCATTGCCTTCAAGCCTCCTCAACTGCGACACAACGGCATGTGGCGGAGAGGTATCACTTTCTGAAGAAAGCAAGTGTCAGGTGTACAATACGAGAAATTTGAAATGAGTACAAATATGCACCTCCACCTCCCACACTAGCTAGTCGAGTGAGACCGTTGAGAGTGGCTTGAGTGATTGCATTCGGGTTTCCGGCGTGAGTGTTGACGGAGTGGATTCGTTTACGACTCGACACCATTGGTGCTCTACTCTGATACACAGCAGACGACATCATATCACCACGACCCAACGGAGATACTCCAGACAATACCGCAGCCAAAGTTTGTGCTGAATTACTCATTATTAATTTCATTATCCAAAAAGTCAACAAAGCACTTACGTTGAGATGAGTAGGAGTTTACGTGAGAACCATGTCGTTCGGGTTGTTGAAATCCACTTGAAAGTCGGGCATTATTACGGGAATCGACAACTACTACGCCCAATTGCTGCTCATCACCACCAGCGTTTGCAACAGTAACTCGCCGTACATTTGCAGCCTCACTTCTAACAGGATTTTTAGAAGTTCTGAAAAAGTAAAACGAATTTCAAGAGACAAACTCGGACCACAATACAGTAGGAACGTAACGAAAACGGTTTCGTCCTATTCTTCGCCGTAAAAATTGCAAGGCGATTTTCAATGTTTTGAGATCCCAACTTTTGTGAGTTACTTTACATGTGAAACCCGTATTTCATTGAAGTGCGCTGATTTGCACAGCTAGCAATCATCTCATCTGACCCGCTGATTTCAGAGAGAGGACATGAGTAAGAGTTTCGTAAACAAAGCAGTAATGTCGTTACAAGAAACTAAAAGTAAATCACCCACCCTGATGACTGAACAACCTTCACGAAACGATGGCCGTCTCGTTGAAGCACTACGCGTTGTCCTTTTCTGAAAATGACCTTATAAAGAGCACATTAGACGCAGAGGGATAATCAACAAGGAAGAAACAAAGAAATGACTATAATCTGAGAGTGAAGACAAACTCAAGGATTTCATTGCGCGAAGTAGCATCAGTTGCTATAAGATCCTCGCCAGTTAATCCACCATTCCACCCGTCTCCAGCTCGTTCCACAATGCGTCTCACTTCTTCATTGGTACTGCTAGCGGCTGAATCACGCGATGCATGTCGACTTCGTTTTTCGTTTGAATCTTCCTGAAATATTGCTAGCAATATTACCAGGGAAATGAGAGCCCCCACATGAATGCAGAGTGCACAACAATGAGAATCAATGAGGTTACCTCATTATCGCCTCCAGCAAAACTCAAATTGGGGTGCTTTGACTCGGAATTCACACCGACAGTTACAACAGCTCCAACCTGGGGTATAGAAGTCGACGGTCGTAAAGGTCCACCCGATGTTGTCGCTGACGTTAGATGACCTGCAATGCTGCTTTGAGGGACTAGAAATTTCGAAAATAATTCTATCAACTAACACTCAGACTCTGCCAGTGCTTTAATAGCTGCCATTGCACTGGGAGGTGGAGATGACGGTAGACTGCCGTCCAGCGGTGAATTGTTCGAAGAGAGTGTAGAAATCCATGATGTTCGGTCATTCTTTCGCAACAGGGGTGGTGCGATCGTTCGTCCATTCAAAGCGGAACACGTAACGATGGAAGCTTCAATATAGAAACAGGTATATAAGGCAACAACTTCAGCTTACAGTTTAGTGGACAAGGAATCTACGGAAACAAAGTTGTTTCACATAACGAAAAAGTTTGAGAAAAGAACTCACGTTTTGTCAGCGACTTCAGTTCGAATGCCGAGAAGACTCCAGTGCCCCAAATCCCTTCAGGGCTCATATCGCCCATCAGAATATCTACTGAAAATTGTATGAACAATTCGTGAAGATAAAGTCCTATGTTGCAACAGGATGTGAGAAACAAAAGCAAAAACTAGAAGATTCTGGGATCATTCAATAAATATTACATGAACCGGCAAAACAAAACCAAAAGTCCATCCGCATACATTAACCCCTTATTTCCTCCCTACGAGTAATGTGCTAAGACAACACACTTCTGTGTTTACGTTTCGAAAGATTGCGCCGATCACCTACTCAACATGTTTCGCTAACCATTCATCGCAGAATCTCACTCCTTACGTATCCATCATAGAAAGGGCCAGTCAATAAGCATTTAGACTTGTGCCGTAGAAAATTTTAACCGCAAGCGCGACACAAAACGGTACACAAGAAAACGATGGTGCTGGCCGAAGAAGAAGTGCACGTAGATGCTACACAATATAATGTCCTGGCATACGGCATATAATGCTGGAAGTCCTTTTCGGCTAGAACTGAAGCAAGGAACAAAAAATAGATGCCAACGCCTTCAACCTCGTGTTTCAGTTGCCGACTCATAAGCGGTATGGATATTCCTCCCGGACAAGTAGGGTACAGATCAACTTACTCCTTCCAGTTTATGTCAAAATTTCCTATAGCTAGACTAACTTTCACCAAAATATGAAAAGTCTGGTTAGAATTAGTCTATCATGGAAGCCACCTGAACGTAGTCAGCAGATCTAATGGATGGTTTGTTATAGGTGCCCTCAAAACTTATGCCCACTGCCTTCCACCACATTAAATGCATAGTATGATTAGAAGAGCTCAGAAGGTTCGCAGCGTGCTAATAATACATGCCTAGACAGCGATGGCCCAACCGTGTAGTCTGTATCGAAAAATCAGTTGAACAAATCATGACGGTTACAATGAAAAGGAAGAATTCGGTCGCTTTGTGTACCGTTAACACTGATCAACCTCATATCACGGCTGTTAGAGGAGGCCGCACTTAGCCACGAAAATACTGGCACACGATCCGGAATATATTGATTGTTCGAATTCTGATAGAGCTCTCGCGTTTTGCCCACAACCCAATAAATGCCAACCTCGAGGTACTAAATCCGCACCATATACTGACAGAACCTCGTTTGTCAAAATTTATAGCCTTTCAATTACAACCGCCCAAATTTAAGAAAACCAAAGCCAGTTACTGGGCCTCTCGAAGTCAACACTTCCTCTTCAATGATACCAAAAACTGTCCCCTACTGGAGAGTGGAAAAGTAACTCCGCAGCTACTTCTCTACAAACCTTAGGTATTGATTACTGTTTGTATTGGGTTGTAACATAAGTTCGTAGAGTTTTGCGTTAGAGTTATTTTACAAAGATTTGTTTCGTTTTTCAGCAAAGTGTATACATTCACTCGAAAGAGCTCTTTCTCCTACAAAATTGTTTTGTTCGTTTTTTTTGGATAATTTAATTGTTCGTTTTTTTTGGCTCATAAATGGAAT